TAATGTAAAAAATCTTTAGAGGAGATGACGGTGTTCATGATGATGATGCACAATGCATTATGTCAGAATGCTTCGATGATGATGGTGTTGATAATGATGCGCAACCCATTAATGTGAGAATTCGATGACGGTGTTTATACGATGCGTAACCCTTAATGTGAGAAATCTATGACGTTGTTGATAATGATACGTGATACCCCTTAATGTGATAATTTGTTGATGATTGTGTTGATAAGGATGCGCAACCCATTAATGTGAGAATCCTATTAGTGCTATTAATTATGAGCAACTTATTAATGTGAGAATTCTTCTATGACGGTGTTGATAATGATGCACAACCCATCAATGTGAGATTTCTGCGATGCCGGTGTTATATGTATGCGAAACTCATTTGAGAATTCTGTAATGACTGTGTTGATAATGATGCCCAACTCCTTAATGTGAGAATTCTATGACGGTGTTGATAATGATGCGCAACCAATCAATTTGAGAATTCTATGACGGTGTTGATAATGATGCGCAACCAATGAATGTGAGAATTCTATAACGGTATTGATAATGATGCGTAAGCCATTATGTGATAATTTTTTGATGACGGTGTTGATAATGATGTGGGACCCCTTAATGTGAGACTTCTATGACGATGTTGATAATGATGCGCAACAGTGGCGGCGCCAGCGGGGTGTGGGGCAGGGGGCTTAAGCCCTCCATCGGTCTGGTCAAGCCTCCCCCCCCCCCAACCCGCCACACATCCATCGGCCTAAGCTCGTCGGGCAGTCGGACCAAAAAAAACCCCAAAAAACCTAGTTTTCCCATCCCAGCCATTTCCGGCCATCTAGAAGTCGCAATTTTTTTTTTTAATCCGTTTTGGGAAGAGGGGACACCCCCTCCAATACCCACCCCTGGCTCTGGCCTTCGGCCCTCAGATAACGCTGCGCGCTATAGTTACACCCATAAATACTTAGCCCCACCCCCAGTCGGACATCTTAGTCCCCCATAAATTATATCCTAGAGCTGCCACTAATGCGCAACCCAACAATGTAAACAATTGTTGATGATTATGTTGATAATGATGCGCAACCCATTAATGTGAGAATCCTATGAGTGTTGATAATTATGCGCAAATCATTAATGTGAGAATTCTTTGATGACGATACGTGTTGATAATGATACGCAATACATTAATATGAGAATTCTCTGATGACGTTGTTGATATTAATGCGCAGTCCAGCAACTGTCTCTTATACACATCTAGATGTGTATAAGAGACAGATTATGATGTCATTGCAATACAAATTCCAAGGAAGTGTACCGTAAGTTATATCTAGGGTCACAGATCATATTATAAACTGTCGACGGAGTGCGCACGGAGAAACTGAAGGAGGTGGTGCGTCTTATGGCTGCAATAAAGATTATAACCTGCCTAAGTCTATAGTGCATGCACCTGGAAGTGCAACCGCACCAAGTGATCGTATCAAGCATTCACCTGTCGAGTGAGCACTGTCTGGTGGGAGTACTATAGTGCTGGAGGACGGTCCGGTCTAGATAGTCACTTGTCGTTTTTAAATGTTCATTGTTTTGAGAGAAGTCAGACATGTGGACGTTGTCCAACAAGCGTTGAATGTAAGCAATACTCAATTATCTCCGCCAATGATATAAGCTAGGGGCAAACAATAACTCTGCATAGTCGTCTTTGTTCAGATTCTGAAAATTTTATATTCGTTTCTGATTGGTTAAAGTCAGAAACCGGCTGGGCGGACAGACTTACCCAATGCTCTTTGTCTAGCACCTAAGGCCATAATTCTTAAACTCAAACTTACAGAAGAAAGTCACCTGCTGTTTTTTACAAAGTTAATTGCCGAGTCGAGCGTTGTTTCCGATCATTTTGGTGTGCAACATCCCCGTTAACGATAGGCCCTCCGATTTGTCCTGTCTAGGCAAATGCGTCTTTTTTTTTCTCCATAGTACATTTTAAATAAAACTTCTTTCTATTCCCTCTCTTGTTGTTTAGAACACAAAGACCAATCATAATGCACTGAGAGTGAATTAATTATCTTCTTACCAGCAGATGTCGGTCACAATTAGCAAACACAACCAGCAGTACTAGAAGCAACTTGAACGAGATGATCATCATCTTCTAAGAGTTCACGAGTTTACACGGCATGTGCTTTACTCCTTCAGATCATCACCACAATGCGGCTATGCTATCCTATCAGCGACTAAATCTAACATTGACATATGTAGCTCAGTACACAAATAGAATCGCCTTCACGCAGGCCATGAATCGACGATAAGAGCTACGTTAACGCCAGTATATACAAAACAACTCAAAATAAGATTCTCAATTCTAAGCACAATTTCTATACCATTTTCTCAGTGTAAAAAATCGTTATTATGCGTATTGATATACTTAAGATAATTATAAATATTCAACAGGTATAAAAACGATCAATATTTTTTTAAATATCTGATTTGTTAGCGATATTTTTTTTCGTCATATTGAAAAATACATGTAAATTCGGTAAGAGTGCAATTAAAAGATGAATACAAATGTATTTAAACTATTAATATCTAGTTCTCAATCATATTTACTGAATAATATACCTATAAATCTAAATTCGTTTAATGCGCACCGTTTATATACCTTGGAAAACCTTTAAAACAATATTTAAAATTGTTTTGCAAAACTTTTTTCTCGTACAGAAAGTTTTCGCGCATGCGCTTTTAAGTGTCCAATCAAGCATGACAATTCCTAACAATAAACTAGGATGAAAGAGGGAGACATAATGAATATTTTGCAGCTCAGCAACGGTCTCATAATAATAAAATTCGTCACCAGATAAAAGTCTTATCTAAGCGCCTGTATGATATATGCTTCCAATACCATTGAATATATTTTGTATTAAAAAAACACAAATAAAGAAAGTTGTTAATTATATGACCTTTAAAGATAAAATGTTATAGTAAATAATCAAACTTTTAGCATGTCATGCATCTTTATTTGTTTATTTTTTTTATTTTTTTTTTTTGTGTGTTTTTTGTTTTTTTTTTTGTGTTTTTTTTTTTTGTGGTTTTTTGTTTTGTTTTTTGTTTTTTGTTTTTCGGAATAATATGAGGTAAATGAATTTTATATGATTTCCCAGGGGGAGTACATAATATTATATTAATTTATAGTGGTTGATTTTGTTATCTTTATTTTTACTTTTTAATAAAGGAAGATTTATGAATTCCTGACAAAGAAAACAATCCAGGAACAACCGCGATTGTTACTAATTCACTGAACATAATATACGAGCATGCGAACAATAAAATAAGATGAATAATTATTGTTTGTATTCCAGAAAAATGATGCAAAAGTCATGCTGTTCTAAAAGGTTGCAAAACGCTGCTGAAATTAGTGTATATTTGATATTGGTAATTATGCCCTATACCGCTCTAATTTTAGTTTGTTTAAAATGCACATGTATACAATTTTAGGCTAGAATACTATTCTATAATGCATCCACTTCATAGTGATTAAATTCAAGTATAAACGTTTCATAATTAGTATCTCTAGACATTGGCCGGCTTGGAACATAAAAGTTGTGTAAAGAATACGACTGCGGAGCGGACATACTACGAATAAACATATAAATCGCTAGAAATAGTAGGTATTCATAATAAAAATCTAGGCGACCTCAAGGCCGGATGTGCTCGCGTGGACGGTCGCAGTTCACAGACTTTGGATTAAACCAGGGGCTTAAACCCTAGGATAATGTTTCTTCTAGCCGCCGCCTTCAAATTTCTGGATTATGGTAATGCATTTTGAAATTGTCTAGAGGTGTAAACTTATAGGCCTAGGCTTCAGTGGTATATTTATTTTTGATCGTCATTTATATATTCAATGATGTACTGGATGGTTACACACTGCTGTCGAGGGACAGCGTAAAGAAAATCTATATCAATTGGAATGTTCACTAACCTGTGTTGGTGAAATAGAATAACATACTAGATATTGGTTAAATTATATAATTATTATTTGGAATTTTAAAAGTCTCGGATCAGGAAATATCGTAGGCCTACTCTTTTTCTTTATATGCATTCGGCCAAATGTTTCTAAAATAACCAAGACCTACCGTATAATCAATCGGTCAAATGCTCACGTAAAGCAAAAATGATCATGTTACATAGCATAACATTTAATAATTTCATTTTTTTATTTAATAATTTATATTTAATCTTATAGACCTATGTACGTCTGTTCTGTTAATGCTTGTATCTTCGTCGTTTCATTATCATCTACTGATTTCGTTTAATTTGTATAATTCTTTAACCCCCTCACGTAATAGGCGGGATAAGGGAAAATGTATCCGTTATACGAAGGCTATGTTGATAAAGGCACAGCACTGTGTAAAATACGCCATGAGAATGGATGGATACTGTAGCACAATAAATGTAAATCATTATTTTATTTTATTTTAACATGAACCAATTGGATCGAAAATAATGTTGAATAGGCCTACTAATACAGAAAAACGCATTGCGTTGTCATATAGTGAGGTGCTACACATTGGCAAGAAATAGGTATATTTCTAGCTTCCTGTTCATTGATGATACCAGTGTAATGAAAAAAAAACACCTTCGAAAGTTGGCCTGCCTGACTTATAAGCACATATCGTGTGGGAAAAATACAAATCATCTTTCAACAAAATGAAGTGAGGTGACATTATGTAGGCCTATTGACCCATTGTTTGCTAATTTATTAATATTTTTTTTTTAAATGTGATGAGTTTGCATTTGAAAAAAATATAAAAATAACTTTTTAAGACGTGATTTATTCTAGGCAGATAAATTGAATTATACAACGATTATATTATTTAATACTAATAGATTGATCCCCGAATTGTATACTGTGAAGTATATCATGTAGAAAGCTAAACTGTGTTAAAAAGTAGAAAGTGAAGCAACAAATATTTAAATGAGGGCGCTAACACAGATATACGCGCATGCGTAGTAATGATAAAGCCAAACACAAAATGGCTTGTGATTAAAAACAACTCTTTGGACACTGGTCAAAATGGACATTTTGGTGATTAAACCTATGTCTTTTGAGTTATAGTTCGGTATGCAGAAAGAAATGATTGGTGGTTGTTGTGTGTGCGGGGATGAAAGGGGATGGACGGAGAATCCACTAGTTTATTGCGATGGTCACGGTTGTAATGTTGCCGTCCACCAAGGTTTGTTCAAGGTTTTGTTCTCGCGGGCTTGACTTGTTTGTTACTCATGCACTGTTGTTGTATTTCGTAAAGAGGCATCGGCCTTTAGAGCCTAGGGTATGGCCCAGCCTATACCTCAACAAAATCATATAAGCCTATGAGATCTCCTTTCTTCAGATTTTTCGTAAATTTGATATTAATGCCGTTATCTTCTCTATAAAATCAGTTTATGACCATGACATTTGACTTTTGATCACTTTGTTTGGTGGGAATTTTAAAGATCTCATTATTATTGACAACAGTCTCTAACAGAGAAGTTTTGAGTCAATCACTTTGTTGATGGAAGTTTGAGTGCTTAGCCTAGGCCTTTATTAAATATCATTTACTGACAATATAATAAACATAAAAAATTAAAATAGTAAATGTTAAATATCATATACAAAATTTAATAAATAATCTTTATATACATCTATCACTACATCAAACTATCTGTTAAGAATAGATTAAATGAATGTTCTAAACTGGAACAAATTTTGGAATACTAGGAATATTAAATTGGGAGAAAACCTTCTGTCATCACTCAGTTGGTGAGTGGGTGGGTGGTGGAAATGGCCGCCACAGATGTATGGTAAATTATATGGATTAAAAAAAATAACATTGTTATTATTCAAAAGAAATTGACTGCTAATCATTTTTTAGATTTTATTATAGCTGGTAAATTAGTGAAAACTAAATGGTGTCTCTTTGTATCATTTGATTGAAATTTGATAAACTACTGTAGTATCAGTTGAATGAGCAAAATGTTTTATTTTAATTTTGAAGTTCTATCAACAGAGTAAAATAAATTATAATTGATTTTTTAATGTTATTTTTAAAGGCACAAATATAGACTAAAATAAAGACATAAACTAAACTTGTTGCAAAAAAAAAGATGAAGTTTGTATTTTTTATTGTAGAGCTTCTTATAATTTAAAATTAATTTAAAAAGCTTGAGATGATTGGATAGGTTGGCAATATTGCACATTTCTGAGTGTGCCTAATATTTATTGATATGTAAGTTAAAGATTACCACAAAATTCTATTTTTTCAGCTTGTTATGGAATTGTTTCTGTACCGACCGGACCCTGGTTTTGTCGTAAATGTGAATCTCAAGAAAGAGCAGCTAGAGTAGTAAGTACACAAAGTGTTCTCAAATTCTTGTGGGATTAAGAGATTTTTGTTAGACAGCAAATCAAAGCTGCCATCCAGAATTGCAAATTTGTTTAGATTAAATTTACTGAAGTAATACATAGTCGATCCAAATCTCCAGCACTCCTCCCACCCTCCTCTCGTCTTTCCTATTTTCTCTATTTTACAGATGACAGATTAGTACTGTTTGTTGCTATGATGAATATATATTTGAAATATGAAGTTGTCTGTATTCTTTTCTAGAAATGTGATCTGTGTCCTCAGAAGGAAGGTGCTCTGAAACGGACTGATACAGGAGGTGAGTACACAGTTTATAATCTTCAGATAGTGAATATTACAAAGAATGTTCATCCACGAGAGATTCTGTCTTGCCTGCGGGAGTGCGGGAGGCCGTCCCGATTTTCGGGAGACTCCTGTGAGTTGAGGGAGACTTTGGACCCCTGCTACTGCATACCAATATGCCAATATGGCAGTCACATGAGCATGTGGACCCAATCGGTGTATTGTATTATTAATACCATTCTATCTCTTCAGGTTGGGCCCATGTGGTATGTGCTCTTTATATTCCTGAAGTGTCCTTCGGAGATGTGACAACCATGGAACCAATCCAAGTATCGTTTGTTCCTCATGATCGATACAATAAGGTAGGAAAATGGAATAACTGATTATCATTATTACTAATATATTTTAATGTTTTTTATTGATTCCTATACTGTGAAGCAGTAGAACCTTTGCAGTCATCCTGTGGTATTGGTTATGTAATTGTGCCCTATTGCTTGAAAACATGTTTGGATAAATATTAAAGCAATACATAAGAAATATATTCATTTAAGGCGAGGGATCGCGCTCGCGCACCTAAACTGCTATCGAAGGGTGTGAAATATAACTTGCCTTGCATTTCAAAATAACTCACCTCTACAGCCCTCGAAATGCCGACACAATTGTTGCTGACCACATCAATTATTTACCAACGTAAAAGATGCTAGGTCTAGGCTGAAAAATATCTTTATACTGGTATTGTGGGTCATCATACTTTTCTAAGTACTGTGTAAGAACTTCTACAAACTGAACAAACAGTTAATAAACAACGATTTCCGGACGAAATAATGCAATAATCACATTGCTTCTAGGAATTAACAATTAATGTAGCCTAGCACAAAAACCTATGAATGAACCGTTCGTAATGCTTTCTCAGTCCCAATAGCGTACTGCCAGAGATTATCTATTGATTTAAAATGACACACCAGTAAACGTTAAAGTTAAATAGTTAGATCAAGTGCAAATCACGCCTTCCATTGTTTAATAAAGTGCATTATCGCTCCTTAAAATTCTGTTGGAATCAACATAAAATCAAGACGGAACTCAAAGTAGGTTTATTTATCGGATTTGGATGTCGTTAGATTTATCATTGTAAATTAAAAAGGCATAGCTTCACTTATTCTTCAAACAAGACACTTTTCAGAAACATGTTGCTGATTTAATCACAGAGGAAATTTGTAGAGAATAAAATTTAAATTTGTTATATTTATTTAGATTTAATTTATAAATATAGGCAATACACTGAGTTCGTTCTATTATCAGCAAACTGTCATGCAATGAAACTTTGGGCGATCTGATGTCATCACAGCCAAGCACATGTTTGCACATGGCCCCATGAAAAGAATTAACCAATTAGCTGGCAGAGTTTAGGAGGCGGACCTGTTGTCTGATGTTTACAACAACCGACTTGCAGGTGGCATCGTGACTACGAAGAATGTGTTGGGTTTAGGGGAAAAATATCAGACTGAAAATGCACTTAAAAACAATAAAAAAGCATTCATTTTATTGGTAATTAAATTTGCTGTACAGTACAGCAAAACAACAGGTACTGTATATTGTATGTATGTTAACTTTTCGTAGGCTAGTCATACCGAACCCACAAGATTCTTGCAAGCTAGGCCTATGCCTATTTCAGCAGCTAAGCCCTAGCTGTCCTAAGGTGGGGGTGGGGGGAGATCCGTGTTGGGAGAGTACACTTTATTATTTCTCTACATGTAAATGTTGGAAGTTAAATTTGATATCTTGTTGACTCCTGTGGATTGCACGGTCACTGTATAGCGATTGAACGTTCATCTGCAGTATTTCTTTAATCTCTCCCCCCCTCAATTGATGGTAATATAATTTTTGTTGATATACTTGCTCCGTTTAACCTTTGCTATTCTTTCAATCATTCTTCTCATCAATAGGTTTGTTATGTATGTGAACAAAAATCCATGGGGACAAAGGCCACAAGTGGAGCATGTATGACATGCAATAAGAATGGATGTCGGTACTCATTCCATGTCACTTGGTGAGTTAATACCATGTACCATGTACTCTGTAGAGGCAGGTGGTGTAGCAGTAAGGTTCTTGTTTTGTTAATTGAGAGATCAGGATTTTGAGTGAAGAGGATGAACCACACATTTGTGTTCATAGGCAAGGCACTTTATTAGCTTTGCTTCTCTCTACCCATGAGTTAACTGAGTACGGTTGTATGCTACTGTGCTGTATATGGCTACAACCATATCAACAAAGAGTATTAATGTACTACATACCTGAACATAAAAATATGGAATCTCTGCTTTTGTTGTCTGGAGAGGGGAAACAATTCTGATCAAAATTCTTTTTGGGAAATGTGCAGTGCCTCTAACTCTTTCCAGCCCAGACCCGGGATTTATCAATCTCAGCTTAGCAAATGTCTTAAGTCAAAAAAGTTAAAATGTCCTTAAGCAAATATCTTAAGCTGATTTATCAAACCATCTTAGCAAAATCTTAGTTTTAAAATCATCTTAGATGGTGCATGCACACAACCAACTTTTTAATTTTAAGCTATTTTTAAGCTAAAGCAATATTCATAAATTTGGCTTAAGCAAAGAAATTGACTCCAGACGAATTTAAGCTGATTCCTAGTTTGATAAATCCGGCCACAAGATGTTATCTTGGTGCAGTATAACACAGTTTATGAGATTTAGGGAACCAATTCTGACATTTTTATTTTGTTTTGCCAGGATTGAACATAAGACATTGACTGAATGTTTTATGATACCATTCCAGTATTAACAAAATATGAAACTTAATCGAAATTGAGTCATTTTAAGATTTTTGGATTACCAGTGAAAATGGTAATAACACAATAAACACAAAGATAAATAGCAGAAGTTGTAAACAGTATGGTGTAGATAAAACAGTATACCTTCCACTTGACATAGGCAAATGGCACAAGGGAATAGAATTCGTCACAACCCACAAGGTATTATGGATGAACATTATTTTTGATTATGATGTATGCTAATACGAAAGGTTTTTCTTTCCAGCGCTCAGTCAGATGGACTTCTGTGTGAAGAAGCTGGTCAATACACAGACAATGTCAAATACACTGGCTACTGCAGCACTCACTTCCAGAAATTGGTAAAACTTGATTAATCAGATTTTATAATAGTAATAAGATGATGATAATACTAAAAAATAAATAATACTAGGCATGTTATTTGTAAATGCACAAGTTAGGTTAATGAATTGTTGAAAAATTTGGCACGTAACGCTAGTTGAGGTTTGTAGTAGTGGAGGGCGGGAGGAAGTAGTTCATCATTTTTCAAAGCATTATTAACAAAAGGAAATATTATATGCTGCTGTAAGGAAACCATTATCATTGATTAAAAATATACATACTTGATAGATATAATGGTGTTACTATCTGAAGTGCTGTATGAACCAAGAGTGAACATGTTTGGTATTTCTGACTACTGTAAAACCAGGAAATTTCACGCGCATTAAACTTTCGCAAATTTCGCGAATGGTCCAGATTCGCGAAAATTTTATGCTGGGAATAATTTTCAGGTCACATGTTCTATGTTTAAAAAAGATCGGTAGAATACTATCTGATTATCGTAAATCTCGAATCAGTTTCACAAAGGAGATTTTGGTCATTATAAATCACTAAATTACACCAAAAATTAATTTCAACTTTTTTAAAGATGATAATGAACAATAAACAGCAAGAATTGTCAGTATTTCAAGACCTAAACTCGCCGACGACGACGATGCAATACAGATCTAGGGCCTCTTGGCCTAAATGGGGAATCCCCACAGATTGCAACATGTTCGTGAAAAGTTCAACTTCAAAATTTAAAAAATTGTATTTTAAATTATTTTGTGGATTTTATTAAATGTGTATAAACTTAATAGAATGTATTTCAATTATTGAATAAATATTCTCACCTTACAAATTCCGATGTTGAGCTCAAAAGTTTGTAAATTCTAGGCCTATTCTAAACTACTCAGCAAGTATACTGATCAGGGAGGTTCTGATCATCACTGCATGTGACTGCACATGTGCAGTACCACTGCACAGTGTATACTAAGAAGTTCAAATGGAAACTAACTTTCTTAGCTTGACATACCACGATGTTCAGTCATCAATGTGTTTGAATCAATATTAGGCCTACAGGAATAAATATTGTTCATTGTAGGATGGTTGAATACCATACAAAATTTAGGAATATCGTATGAGTGAGTATTGTAATGTATAGTACGTGTCTTTCTTAACTGTGCCTGGGATGGCCAGCTAAGTCCTGGTCCTAGCAGCTGAGGTAGGCTGCAGGCTTTTGGCGCCTAGCCTAGGCCTAGCTATTGTAGTCTAGACAGTGGCTGTAGGCCTATCTAACCTAGGCCTAGAACTCACAATACAATATTTTCAGCTATTGTATGGTATTCGTCTCATGAATAAAATTTAGGCCTTTTGTGATTTGCGAAAGTTTAATGTCACGAAAACGGCCAAAATTATCAATTCGCGAAAGTTTCATTCCACGAAAGTTTCTGGTTTTGCAGTATTTAATTTTGGAATTCCATTTCAAAAAGCAAATGATATATGATGATTTTTTTATAATTAATAAATGAATGCTTCTGGTTCAGTTGTTTATGTTTTTGTTTTCTTTTATTTATGATTGAACCAGCAAAATAGTGGAATGGAGCTCTGGCTCTCAAAAAGAATGTTTAGTTATTGTTGGATGTGGAAGAAATGATAGTTAAAAAGTAACACAGTCAGTTAAAAAATGAGAATTGGTTGAGATTAAAACATACAAGATAAACTTGATATATAGTTTTTTCATAATTACTGTAAGCCTCAGTATAATATGTTGTTTATTTATTTTCTATAGAAGAAGGATAAAGATATAAAAACGATTCCACCGTTCAAGCACCCGACAAATGTTGTTAGTCCTGAGAAAGGACAGGCATCTGAACGTGACAAGCAAAGAATCAATTATGGTACTGAAAAATCGCGCCAAGTGGCAAATGAAAAAGCCAAGAGCAACGATAAGCCACGTTTGACTGTAACCGAGAAGTCCAAACAGAGTACAGCTGAGAAGACACGACAAGACAAGCAGAAGCAGAAAGGTGAAAAACGATCAAAATTGACAGAACACATTGCTGGTGAGTTGCCAAAGAGTGAATCTGAAGGCGACGATTCCTCATCTTCTATTGCAAACGGTGCCATTGATAAAGGCAAGTTCACCACAGCTAACTTTACAGAAACTGTCATTCCAACTCCGTCTGTGCCTCCCTCTGCTGCATTGCTCGAAAAGACCTCATTAACGAAGGCCAGAAAATCACACAGCTCGGCAAGTAGTAGTCCCAAGCATGGGAATGTAGACGTTCACGAAAAACAGAGAGAAACTTGCAGTGCACCTAGTAGTCCATCATCTATCGATGTGGAGAGCGTGCAGTCTATGAGTAGTCGAAGCTGCCACAGCAAGTCCGACAGCATGGATAAGATTTCGGAGGCTTCTTCCGTGAAGACCAACGGTACTCCCTCTGTGACAACAGAAACGGTTATGCAAACTGATCTACCGCCATCTCTTGAAAGTCCTAAGTCGGAATCCGGGCAGGCTCCACCGGTCGTAAGCCCAACCAGTTATGAGAACTCATACAAAGAGTTTATGGCAAGGTACACAAGCATTCCGAATGAAAAGTCAAAGGTGCAAGCGAACTTGAAAATGGGTCACGTGAAGTTGGAAGAAACTGAAAAGAAAAAGTCAAAATCTGAGAAGAGAAAGGATGCCAAGGTGGGTCGGCCGAGAAAGAAGTTTAAGGATTTTCCGGAACCATTAAAGAAGGTTAGAAGATCCAGCAGCTCTTCCCACAGTAGTCCTACAAAGAAATCTGGTAACTTTAGCCTGCTTCATGATATGCATGAGTATGCACAATCATCTCATATACAAAAAACGGCCAATGCAAAGTATGCTGTTAAGCATGTGGATATAGCCTCACTTAGATCTGGCCAAGGTATGTAACAATTTTCATTCTTTTTATAAAGTTCTGTCCAGGTCATCAAATTTTCTCTGACAAAAAAAAAAACTGTTGTATGGCCTTATATAGTCATGATGTGCCTATATATGGTCATGATGTGATGTCATCATGACCATATTTAGGCATGTCACATGTTTATTTATATCAATAAAATTTAATAGTCTGGACAGGGCTTTAGATTATATATCATTATACAGAAGTAGTGTTGTATTGAAGACTAGTATAGTTATGCAAATATTGTATTCTTTATCTGTATATAATTATGATATACATTACACACCATGATATTTATTCAGGACTACACTTTTATATAAGTAGCACTCTTCCAATTAAGGAAGGTGCATCCAAGAAAAATAAAACAAAATTATAAAAATAACAAAACTTAGTTAAGAATGGAAATCGGCAAAATAGCAATAACTCAACTAAACCAAAAACATTCAGATATAAAATTTAACCCCACCCATCCCACACCCCCACCAACTAACAGATAAAGAATTGACCCATTGACATAAATATTTCTTCCCTTTTTAAACCTTCAGAAAGTCTACAATCAGCATTCACAACACATACCCTCCAATAAACCACCCACCTGCCTGTAGACTTGAACAGAAATAAGTCATTTATACACCCACTCATCTTAAGTCATTTATACACCCACACAACTTAACTAAGAACATTCAGATGAACAGCTAAAACCCCACCCACTTCCTGCCCCTGCCAACTATGATATATTTTTTAATTGCTTTTTATATTAAGTAAGCTACAGTATTAGTTGTTGATTGAATGTATATATTAAACAAAATTCTTGCCAATTAATATAAATCATACTGTACCATTCTATAATTTTTGCATGGATCTTAGCTGGTATTTCAATTTTAGGACATAGACAAGTTTTAAAGCAAGTAAGAAACTAAATTATTGTAATCTGTGTTTAATTTTAAGTTAGTAATATATTAACAACTTACGAAAATGAAATAAGCAAATCGGAGTTTAAATAACATTTTTGAGATTTAATATTTTAAATAATTATTGTCTAATAATGAACTCTTTCTCTAACAGAGACAGAAGCGACCATTAGAGACGTGTTTAATACAGCTGGTCGTAGTGGGATTCTTGTTGGCCCTCAGCTTCCGTCTTCAGCATCAACTCATCGAGTGAGACCTCAAAAGTAGGTTGATTTTACAAATGTGTACAGTACTTTAACGTAGAAAGTTCTGAAATTCTGTATACAGGTTTTTTTTAAAATCTGATACACAAGTAGCAGCGGTTACTGTAATGCTATTCTGATGGTGTTTGTGCCAGGAGATCCAACACTAGCCAGTAAGCACAAGGTCGGTGGTCTACAGTAGTTGTTAAGACACCAGGTTTGTTATTTGGAGATCTTGGGTTCAATTTCCACCTGAATCACTTGCAAGATTTTTTTCCCAAGTATTTTGGGAACATATTAAGCATTCAGTATGATAACACGTCAGGTACCTTGTACCTTGTAGTTGATATCCCCGAAGGCCTCCGCCAGGGAGGATTGCTTAGGGCTGACGAGAGTCGGGGCACTAAATTAGTTGGCTTTTTGAGAGTTTTTGCTTATTTAATTTGGTTTTGAAAACTTCTAAAGTTTTCGAAGTTACAATTTCTCTTGGGAGGTTGTTCCAGTGGGATACTGCATCTGAGAAGAATGAGTTTGCCAGCTGGTTTGTGGAGATAAAGTTTGATACGACATCATACTGTTCATCATGGGACCATCATAGTCTAGTTACTTTTTTTAGACATATTTATCTAAATCTAGATCAAGTTCTCCATGGATGAGCTTGTAAAAGCTGATGAGGCGTAGGTGTTGTCATCTAACCTCGAGGGGAATCCAGCCGAATGTATTCATCATCAATATCACAAATTGGGCTGCTCGCCTCTGTACCATTTCTAGTAATTTTATGTTCTTGGCGATGCTTGGGTGCCATGCTCAAGGTGGGGTCTAACAAAGGTATTCCAAAAACCGAAAGGTCCACTGATTAATCTCAGATAAGATAGTATAATACATACTCCAAGTATCGAAATGCACACCATCGTGTCAGGAATTAAGTAAAATTTTTTTGTCCAGGGACAAGTGAAAAAATATGAAATTCCCTCATGCCTGTAAATATTGGTGGTTATTGACCTCTTGGGGTTGTTCGTTGAATTTCATACCCGAGGTGTTAGCCCACATGTCTAAGCTGTCAAGGTCTTGTTGCATTGATTTCTCATCTAGGGGTTAGATATTGTTGATTGAGTATGCAGTCTTCAGCAAACAATCTTGTTGTGCAATTTACCATATCCGAAAGGTCGTTGATATACAAGATAAATAAGTGGGGCCCAAATACTGTGCCTTGCGGTATACCGTTCAGAACTGGCAACCAGTCAGATGTTTTACTACTGTCCTTTGTTAGCGGTACGTCAGGAACGATCTTATGCACTCAAGATTCTTGTTACGGATGCCATTCATGTGATATGAAGCTTCTGTAGTCGTTTTTGGTGTTGGATGACATCAAAAGCTTTACTGAAGTCGAGGATGGAAATATCACATGTACCTTTGTTATTGTGATTTATGGCCAGGTCGTGAATGGTAGCAACTAATTGTGTATCACATGATCTACCCTGTCTAAACGCATGCTGGTAGTCAGTAATGATTGAGTTTTCATTAAGATGTTTCTTCAGGTAGGGCAAAACATAATTAAATTTATTTTAAATTATTTTTTGTCTTGCAGTACTGTGCAAGCAACCTCCATGGAACAGTTGCTAGAAAGGCAGTGGCAGCAGGGTTCAGATTTCCTCATGCAACAAGCAAGTCATCTTGATAGTAAGTCTATGCACATCTTTAGAATCTTAATAATTTGACAAAAAACGTTGTATGCCCACATATAGTCATGATGTGCCTATATAGGGTCATGATGTGATGTCTTGATCATATTTATATAGGCATGCCACATGTTTTTGTCAAATATAATTTGGTATGTCTTTACAGGGCTTAACTCTCATATCTATTCTATGTACTCGAATCATGCAGTGATAATAATACTGCTAGTTGAATATAATTAAGTCCAATGTATTAAATTCACATTTTGCAACAGTTTGGTAAAGCATTTAATCCAGCCTAGAGTATGCTAAGCACTTTTTGTGTCCTACTTATTTTTATATGAGCTTTTTATTCCTCATCTTTTAGTTTTCATTTGTCAAAAATTATAGGTCAGGCAAGACTTTTTATAGTCAACCCATTTCCCGCCAATAATGATGATTTCTAATAAAAATAAAATTTTATTTTTGGCCCAAAAAAATTGATGTTTTTCTTGATGCCCACTGCTGCCTTGAAATCTCCAAAAATCTTCCTAATTATTAAATTTAAAGCATTTAACCATCCCATTATTACACTGCTTACATTCACCAGTAAAATTTTTTTTTTCCTCCATTTGGATGTTTTTGGCAAAAATATTTGTTATATAAGAAAGCAAAATTTTATTTTTATATTTTTTTCCGCCCTCCTCTGACGATCTTTAAAAAAATAAGTTTGCAAAACAAGATATAAAAAAAATCTCGCCTTGAATATAATTATTTTTATCACTTGCATTCTCATCCAATGGCAATTGGATATACTAACCACTGACAGAATTTGAGGGAATAATATGCGGGATTTGAACCCAAGCTACTGGTAATAAAGACTAAATATCTTGACCGCCACCTACAGCTCTACTCTAAAGATTTAACCGAAATGTATTGTCTTCCTAGTTGCCTCGTTGATATCATGTCTGTACCAGCTCCGACAGGAGAATCATCGGTTAGAAGAACGTATCACGTCCCTTGAGCAACGGAGGGACCATCTGCTAGCCGTAAACGCACGCTTAACTGTACCTCTGCATCAAGCAAACAATGCCTACCCCAGTGAGGAAAACGCTTCCAGGACTCCGCGTGTAAACAATATCTACAATCACAATGATGCGAATACAAATCCCATTCATTTAGTAAGTTACATGTTTATATGTAAATTTTGGGTGAGCCCATTTAAATGCTAGAAATCCTCTTGAAAATGGAAATGGATCCATCTCGGTGAGTCACTGTAATGTAAAGTCTGCCTATATGTATATTAGTAATGTTAATATAGTAGCATCATTTCATGTAGCTCCTCGTTCCACAACCTATAGGTCCATGACCCAATATTCTGGTCTTTGCCACATATACTAATATGAATTTTCTTTTCTTTCAGGAATTAAATAGTAGCCACAGTAGTCAAGGAAGTGTGCAGAGCAGTTTGAACCAGTCACTGAGTAACAGCCGAAGTACGCCCCAATCCAATCGCATCAGTCCTGCTCATGCCAGCAGCCAACAAGCTCAAGTTCACAGCCAGTCTCCACACATAGTGCTAGCCACTTCTCAGCCTGCTTCCGTGATCCAGGGCAGGGGTACCCCTGTCCATTCCAGTGCTGGACAAGTTCATCCTGGAAATCCTCAGATAACTACTACACAAATGGCACTGATGACCAGTCCAGAAAGCTCCTCTGGTAGGGCTTCCCACACAAGGTATGTATGCAGAAAAGATAAGACAAATTTATTGCTATAAACATAACTAGTTGTGTGCATTAATTATTATTTGGTTCATTTTACAAAGAAGAGACCTTCCTATTTCTATTTAGTAGATCTGAATGGTCTTCAAAAATCATATTTACTTTATAGGACATCTTTGATGATATCAACATATTTTATCTCTCCCTCATGTTATTTTATTGTAAGTCTGTCAATCAAAGTATTTCCATGTTTCAGTCTGAATCTTATGTTTCTGTTTGTTGTATTATCTTGAAGGAATTATTTTTTTCTTTATTCAGTGTATTTATGATTACTCTTACAGCCCCGAAGGTCGGCCAAGAGATCATGCTTTGATAATGCGAGACCTTCCTGTACAAGAAGCATTACGGCACAGCTCGGCCATTCACCAACATATTTTATACCAACAACAACTTGTAAGTGTCAATGCATTGGTAATATTTAGAGGTTGGTTTTGCTACACACTGTTCAGAAAGTTATGTAAAATGTACTAATTTTACAAATCTATCTATTTCAGTAATTCATTTTAATCTGGGCATACACATTCACATTTTCTATCGAAATTGTTCACTTCAGTGAAATCAATAGTTCAAACTGTTTCTGCTTTTTGAGAAGCGAAAAAAATGCGCAACCAGTCAGAGCTCAGGAAGAGAACCGATGCTTTCAATTCATGTTCATATATTCGCCTAGTGTCAAACAGGCTTTAGCCTCATAAAGATTTATTTAAGAAGGCCCCTAAATATTTGCTAACCTTCTATGATATGATGGAAGGGTCACCATCTAAATATGGTTTAAAAACATCTGCAACTGACCTACGAAGACCTATGGGTATGAATGCGTGTAAACATTGTCCTACTTGGGAATTGCATGGCTTAACTTGATTGGCTTGTATCTATTTTAAAAATTTTAATTTCATTTAGGAGCAACGACAGCAGCAGCAGCAACTAGCTTACCAAATGATGCATGGCATATCTCACCCAGGCCAGCAGGCGGCCGCTAACTGTGTCATACAGATGAATGGTGACATACCGGCATTCGCGCATCAACAGCCGACACCAAAAGTATGTATTTACAATTTGACTCCAAACCCCAAAGTACCCAGGTTATCGTGGCCATTTTTGGGGTTGCAATAGATTTTATAGAATACAAATTAATGACTTTACAAATATATTTGGTGTAAACTTAGTGGTTAGTTTTTATTTCTTCAGGATAGTCACTGAAATACAATTTTACAAATACCATATACTAATTAAATATTTTAAATTTTCATATTTGTTTATTTTTGCTCATTGGCATATCTAGAAGTGCTGATGGGGTGGGGGGCAAAGGTGAAGTGGGGACTCAATGATCAGTTGAGGGCTGCTAACTCACAAGATAATGTAGAAGTCTTGAATTGGGGGGATGATCAGGGCGCAAAGGTGAAAAGGGGGGGCCTCGATGATTAGTTAAGGGGGCGCTAATTCGCAAAATATGGTGATTTTTAACTACTTGACCGTGATTTTTGGACGACTGGGGGTGCGCAAGTAATTTTAGGAAGGGCGTTATTATTTTGATATTTGTGAGGTCTCGCCACAAAATGAGTCTCATGGTTAGAAATTCAAAAAATTGAGTTTATATTATATTTGGGTAGATCACATTATAGGCTTTCATTTGGTCTTTGAATGGCTTCCCTACTATAAGTAAATCCAGAGATGTGAGTATTTAAAGTTTAGGTGTGTAAGAACCACGTTTTGAGAAAATCGATCTGAAAGATAAACTAACTTGTACAAATAATATGACTAGAATTACAGAATATGTGCAGAGAATACTGTTTTGGCAAGAAAATTCACTTGCAAAGTATACAATCATAAAATATGAGTATCAAGTTATTTAAAAACATTAAAATCAAAATTTTGTAAAAATATTGACATTGGCCTGTTTTGGTGAATATCTCAATATGATTTCACCAACGATGCGTCTCATTTCGTGGTTAGGCCTCACATTTATATCTTTAAACTTATTTTATTCATTTTTATGCGCATAGAAGTCATGACAATATGCGCCTTATAAGTACACTATTATTATTATTATTATTTCAGGTGATTTTTATTTTTGGAGGTGGGGGTGACTGTGGAGGCACACACCCCTGTTTTTTGCTTGTGTAGATCAGATTTGTTGACGACGCGACTTGATCTTTTCAGCATAAGAAAACTAATGCTTGCTCACATAAATGAAGATTTTTTAAAACCTCTGCTACTATTAAATTTCTTCTGTATTTTTATTTCTAGAATTCAAGACGGAACGAGAAAAGACAACATGGTGGGAAGGACAAGACGTAACAAATGAAGGAATTCTGGATGAAGCCATACGATTTGACTCGAGATTTGAACGTGCAACTATTTGCTATCATCCAGGTTATTACACTTCACCCTTCTCCCACATTTCTATTTTTAGATATATAAAATTTAGGAGTAAGGAGTTTTTAGTACATTGTATTTTTTACAGTAATTTTTTTTTTCAGAAAAACTCATTATCATGACCAAACTTGGTGAATTGTATTTGAAGTTCAAATATTAAATTTACCAATTGCCAAAATATATAAACATTGGAAATAGATGCATGCAAAGCTTTGAACTACAGGTCTCCCTCCAATTAAAAACCACTATTGAGACTGGGATTTGCATGGTCTTTAGCAGCTTTGGTCTCTAATTAGAATAATAAAGATAAGAGACATTTTCTTAATATGGGCCACAGAAAAGTGGTTTTTATTTGGAGGTGTCTTTAATTAGAAGAAGATCTGTAGCTAAGAAATAAAGGTTTTTGTAATGCATATTGAAATAGCTTCGATATATGGAATCTATAGATAGATGAAAAGTTTTACACAATCTTTTGTAATTTTATATTTAAAATTAGTTTACAGTATAAGGTATGTCATTTTTCATAAGATCTGGCAACCATACTGAAAACAATTAACCTTCACTGTACCAGATCCTACAACACAAATAAATGACGTGTTTTCAACAATATTTTGTAATTTTATATTTTAATTGGTATGGTGCATACTTCGATACTAAGACGAACTTATACCAGGGACATTTTCAGAAAAAAGTGTGGGCAGGAGTGATTGCTATATTTAGAATGTTTATGATCTGCTGTTTATATAATAGTAGGGCACAGAAGAGTGCAACTAAGGCATAGATTTATTATGAGATACTAGAAATCTAACTCCAATTTATTTGAAACTCAAAAATAGAAGCGATACCTTAATTCACCTAAAATGATGTGATGGTAGAGTTCTAAACTGAAACACTATAGCGAACATTAAAATGCTCAACATTTCTTTGGCTTTCCTTTTAAAAAAAATATGTGATAAAATGTTCAAATATTGTGCATGAATGCTGATTCCTGGCTCTCACCCAGACGTGCATACATGAGAAATCACACAGATGCTCTTTGGCATTTTATCTAGTTAGCACCTATTATTCTTATGAATAACTTTATGGTTTCAAGGCATGCTATTGTTATAGATATGTTTATACTGTTTTAACCATGGGCATAAAACAATGTCAAAATTTCTACATGGCTGCTATTACAAAACACATTGTTTAAAACGTTGGAAAAGTGCAGGATTGAACATCTGTATGAGCATTGCAATTACTATACTGTACTTCCCATAAAGTTTTGGTTGATTTAGAGTAAAGTACTGTAGATGTATATTGTACATATTATGTCCTCAAAAATGCAAACTACCTCACCAGGCAGAGATACATAGGAACAAGAATGTAATACTCTTTTCACACTGCCGCTATTTTGCAAAATAGTAACTAGTAACAAGTTTGCACCAGGTTTGTGTAGTGTGAAAGTAAGTTCATGTAAAACTTTTCAAATTATCGCAGGTGACCCCTGTGATATCTCGCAAGAAACACAGGCTTCATCAAGGTTTGGATGGTTTGAACTACTGTGTGTGAAACGAAGAAAATGTCTTGGGAGATCAAAGCTGTTACAAAGTGTTACTCATTGTTAAAAATTGAAAGATTTTCTGTTAGTGTGAAAAGGGTATCTTGTTTGCAGTTGTCATTGCTTTCACAATTGTACAATAAAAAACTCTCTTCCCCACCCCCCTTCAGAACCTTTTCATGATGTCTGCTCCACAGTGTGCACTGAATGATAATATATAAAAAGTTGAAACATTCTCAAACATGGAAAGTTATAGTACCACTTTCAGCTGTAGAGGACACAAAACCAAATTCTTTACACAATACTTGTACTCTTGTGAAAATGCTGATAACTGGGAATGGCATTTAACAACAATTTATTTTTAGTATGATAAGGATGATGGTACCAAGTTTCTGTTTGATTCAACAGTATAATAGTCTGCATAGAGTAAAAATTATTGAATGCTAGTCCTCTAAATTTGTAACTAGAGTTTCCCTAACACTTTTTTCAAAGTGAGTGTTCCAATATGCTAAAAATCGAGTTTTGTAAATTATAAATCTATGAATTAAAATTGTTTATGTTGAAATTAGAAACTTTTATGTACATCATACATCCTGCTTTTATATTGAAATTTGATTGGGCAATGAAAGCTTCAGTCATAATGCATCTGTAAGGTTAAGCTGGTCCAGCACAGTAATGGAAGGACTGAGGCAGCCATTTTGTTGCGTACTGACAAATCATCTTCCTGGTTACAGTACTGGGGCGGATGCAGGATTTGGCGTTAGAGGGTGCGTGAAAATCCACACAAACTCAGAAAACCATTTTTTAGGCTGAGGTGAGATTATTTTGAGAATATGGACCTCTAGGTGGCGCTCTGATAATTTTTAAGTATTACCAGAACTATGCTCAATAAATTGAATATACGAAAAACAGTGATCTCATTGTCTGCACCCCTACCTCTTGCATCCGCCCAGCAGTAGCACTAAAGTTTTTTTATAATAGCTCTATGTACTAGGTGTTTTTGTAGATGCGTTTCACAACTCTCAACATTTAATTTTGTAGATGCGATTCACAACTCTCAACATGATGAGGTTTTGCCATCCCAAAACCAGCATCAGTCCACATTATAAGCTTTAAAATGATGAGTCGCTTACTGGAATCATTGCCAAAGTTACGAGTAAAATTATTATGGCTTCTCTGTATACAATGCTGCCACATTCTTATGCTAATTGCTTACATTACTTAATTTAGTGGCATTATGCTGGTTTTAGAATGGCATGCCCCATGTTGTATGCTAAGGGGAATAGAGTGAAATACTGTGACCCCTTCAGAATACTATACATTTTTTTAAACACACAATCTGTCTTCATATGTTATAAAAATATTGATAGTTGTGAATTTTCAGGTTTTTTTTTTAGTTTAGTTTGAATTAAGGATTATTTTATATAATATTGTCACTCCCTCTTGTTTGTACAGTACTGGTTAATTACTACATTACTTTAGCATGGCAAATAACACTGTATTTTGCAGAAAGCACACTGCATGTCATTGTAAACTAAAACCATCTCATTTTGCCTGACATATGAACAAAATCTCATATAAGAGGGTCAAGTGCACAATTGATTACTTATTTCAGTTAGTGGAAAAAGGTGGTTATAACAAGAGTTAACTCCACAGTCAGTAGTAAATCAGTTGTGGTAGGACATATATCGTTTCTTAGGTGGGATATTAATGATTTTAGTAGAAAATTATTGTATAAAAGTGTAATCTTTTGGTAAATTTGATGAACATATATACCTGAAGACTTTCGCCAAGTCTCTTTCTGTTTGGTACAGCACCACAAGCGTGCAACATTAAATACAAGAATTGCTTTACTCGTTGATGGCGCTGTACCTAGTATGACACAAGATATTACAGCCGGGAATCAGTATTTTTTGTTGTTGATTTTTTTTTTCTTATTTTGATAGTTCATGCATGGTGATAAAAACTTAGCCAATGATAATGTAGGCCCTCTCGCAACTCTTCATTATAGTCGCATGCATTAACGAATAATTAGTGCTCAGGATATTTCTATTTCAACAAGATTGATATTAACTGATTTGACTACTGCCGCAACCCATAATATCCATGCTCTTTCTGTATTACTGATCTTAATCGTACACACAATCGCAGAGTGGATTGCTATGGATGTTTTCAACAGGCATAAAAGAATGAACGCGAGTCTGAATATAATTTAACGTCAATACAAGAGGGCGCAATTATAATCTAGAGTTTTAAATTTTGGTGTCATATTTTATCCTTATATTTATTTATCCATATTTATGTACTATATTTGTAATTTCTAATTTAGCAATTTATGATAATTTTGTTTACAAATATGTAGAAGTTTAAAAAATATAATTAATGGGATTCAATGTGGTCTTCCTCAAACTATTGTACCAATATTTTTTTCCAATGGCATATTAATGCCAAAGAGGCTGGTAAACAAATACATTTTGTGTTATACAGATTAGTGATTTTAACCCCCTGAGGTTACTTTATTGCGTGCCTTCTATAGGAAAAGGTTTAGAAAACCATAACCGTCACTGGCAGATCCAGGAATTCAAAATAGAGGGGATTTCACAGATGGAAGTTCTTACTCTATTTATGATTATGACACCCCCAAATGGCCAGAAATAGCCTAATAAATTATGGAAGGCCCTGGCCAGCTCTTCCTCCCCATTGGATCTCCTTCCCCCTCCCCATTAAATCTCCCTCCCCATTAAATCTGCCACTGACCATCTCACTCTTTTGAAAGCCCCAGTGATATTTACTGCCATAGAAAAATTATTGTAATGTATTTTTGGAATGTTAGCGTTAATTTTTAAATCATCAAAGTTTAAATGAAATTTCTGGTAGCTCTTCTGTTTATATTTCATTCAAATTACTCAATTTAAGCAATATGAAAATGATTTGTTTAAATTACTATATATAGAATGTAGCCATTCAGAGCATAGTATTTTCTATCATATAATAGCATGCCACATTTTGTAACTAAAAGGGACAAAATTGTTTTAATGTTCTTGGCTTGTTCGTGTGTATGTTTGCCCGTTGAAGTTCCAGTTAATGTTGGTACAGTACTCCATACAAACTGATTTTGTACAAGTAATTGTTGAAACTATTTTACTAGCAGCAGTCATATCTGCTGTTATTGATATAAACATTTTGTAAGAATTGTAAATTTCTCATGAATTGTGATTTGAAATAATGTATTTAGATATTTGTACGTTCTAAAGGTCACACACATTGACCTTTTGTACGGAATTTTGCGATTTTAGAATCAAGTAATCTCGTCATCAGTTTGGATATCAGAGAATAAATTTGTTTTATTGATCAAAATATTTAGTGTTTCAAAATTGGCACATAGTTTTATTGAATTTATGAATTACTGCTCATTTTTGGTATTAAAATTATTTCTTAAAAAGGTTTATTATTAATTTGTTTGTGAGCCACCAATTTTATAAAAAAGTTGGTACATACCATCGTTATTTTAAACTTGGAAAATTTTAGCAAATTCAGCAACCATAACAATATAACATTGGCATATTGGTTCCACAATGCATTTTATAATTAAGAAACCAAAGATGTATACTTGCTGAATTTGGAAACCATTTACAAACTTATTTTTGCATAAATTTTGTTAATATTGTACTTTCTTCTCTAGCATGTTGGTTGTCTATGCTACTTTTCTGGCACCTTTTGTCTAATATTTTTAATGTTACAAAACTTTATTGCCAAGTGGTACAAAAAACAATGTTAAACATGAAATTTTGTGGGTAAATTGTAAAAACGGTGAACAAAATTCAGCCCATGTTTTTAAAACTTATTTGTACCTTCGTCAGCTCTAGATTTAGATTTATGAAAACTTGTTTTTGTCTTGGATACATTTTGTATTAAACACAAAGCAGCAATTTGTAATTTATATTGATCATTTTGTGAAATCTTTGTGTGTCTTTTCATTACAAATATATATATATATACAGTATTACGTTGTTCTTTACAGTATAATTCATTTTATACCTTAAAAAAGAAACAACAATCTGTCGTGAAGTTCTGCCATGAGACTAGGCAGTAGGCCTGTAATGTTATCAACATGATGGTTGTAGGAACTTCACATGATGGAGTTGAAGAAACCATCCTAAGCGCCTCCTTACCTAATCATTGAGCCCCCACCCACCATTGATTTCAAGAATCCTAGATACACCACTATTTATGACTATTGACATGTGGGGTTGGGATGTGGCACTATGGGAATGAGGTGATATTTAACGTCTTGAGAGTTTTCTGTGGCACCTGGAAGGTGCAATTTTCCAGCCCCCTCATTATTAGATATTCCACTGATCAGCTGCAAAGGGGTTTATGTGACTGATGATCCATTTCCATTCTTCTGCAGCACATGAAGAGTGTGTTAAGGGGCCCAAAAAATATTATCTTGCATAGAAGTTAGTGGTCCACCCTGATCCCTACTGTCACTGTGCAGTCTCCTTTCCTGGAGAAAAATTATTTAACACAATGCCAATCACTCATTCTGACCTTTCGTTTAACACCTCATGCGTGCGCACACAAAAGCAAAAATCTGACTTGACATCGCAGTTATCATGGTGGTAACAATTTATTGTTGATAAAATTGCACAAAATAATAGCACCACTTATTAATTTTAGAAAAATCAAATTTAAAATATGTTTAAGTGCATCCCATTCAGAAAATGCTCAAGCATTTAATGCCAATAAAAGATAATGAATTGAGGAAAGTAATAGTGAAAAAATAAATGAATAAAAAATTATCAATCATAAGGGATATTGTTAATAGGTCGAAAAATGACAGTCAACTAAATATACAATTAATTTGTTATTACAACAATAAACCATAAATGAAATAGTCTGTTGGATTGGTTGAAACACCTTAAATGTTTTGAGTACAATTGGTAACTTAGTATCTCAAGCTGTGCAAGACGAATATTGCATCTTGCATGCTGCAACAGTATACAGAAACATAGGTTCCCAGCGGGAGCATGTGTCTGCTGGTTAATAGTTTATTACAAGTCAGCGGCAGTAGGTAGGCTTTCTAAATACAGCCAGCTACATGACTTCAAACTCACGAAAAAGCAAGACGGTTCATTTCTATCTTTAGCTTTTGACGCAATGGTGGATATCCCATTATTCCTCTAACCGGATGATAGGAAATTGTCTACTTGCCCACAAGCAAGTTGCAGATGCAAAAAAAAATACTCAAAAAGTAGTGTAGCCTTTGACGAAAAGGCATATATCATAAAAAAATATATATATATAACTGATATACATATGTTAAAAAAAAAAAAAAGAATTATCTCAGTATACACTGTAGACTGGGTTCCAGTCCCTAATCTTTGTCTTAATCAGTTAAAATGCTTAAGAATAAATCGATTTTGGCACCAATGGCGTTCCATATTACTTATTTGCATGGCGTTCCATAGTATACTTTTTCTGGGATTCTAATTCGCATCAAAAAAGTTTCTCAACATAAACTGACGCTGGTGGCGCTTTCCGAAATGTGCTAATACTATGAAAAATCAATAAATTAGAGACTTGTGGCAAGTCTAAATACACTGCTGTATTGCTGTATATACAGTATTCATTATAATATATATATATATATATATATATATATATATACATATATATATATATACTACATTGTTGAAGCTGTCAATAGCCAAATCATAACCTACACTGAATTTGACTAAATTACTGAAACAAAATATTTTTCGTCCAAATTAACCAAAATGCTAATAAATTCAATGTATATATTCTATTGTTTGTGCTAATCATTTTTCATACAAATTTAGCCAATTGCTAGACATTAATATGCAATAAGCAATTAATACAAGTGCATCACTTCATATTTATACATTATGTATTATATAAAAAAATAGATTGTAAATGACTTCCTACAATTAATTTCAGATTCACCACACAAAGTCCAAGTTGGTTGGGGTGTCTGATGTACAGCTGGGAACCCGATGTACAGCCCACGTTCGTTTTCCAGTTGGGCCAAATTTTTTTACTCCCATTGTATTGGTAATAATTTATATTTGCTTTTATTTTTATTTACACATAAATATTAATTTAGACAATTAGGACTACCCATAAAAAACATTGGTGAAACAAATGACATCAGAAGAAAAATACAGTATTATTAACTGATAATTTTTTATAATGCATTAAGTGACAAATATCTCATACCAATACACACTAAAAGGAGATGATTTTGGCAAGCATAAATTTGAGGTAATGTATATGAAAAAAACATGCCCATATTTCAATTGATAAGGCAAGAATATTTTTTATACCGTATTTAGTGAACCTTCCGACAGTCAATAATGGTGATTTTTAATAAAATTGAAATTAAATTTTTAGCCAGTTAGCACACAAAAAAATATAAAATAAAAAAAAAAATAAAAAAATAAAAAAAATATTTTTTATTATGCCCTCCACTCTCTGGAAATCTCCAAAGATATATTTCTTCCTTAATTGTATAAATTTAAAGCACTTATCAATCTCATTACTACACTTTTTATATTCATTAATAAAATTTTTATCTTTATTTTCTCCTCCACCTAGGCCCCTAGATGCTTTTGGCAAAATCATTTAGCTAAATAAAAAAACAGAATTTTTTTTTTCTGCCCTCCTCTGACGCTCTTATAAAAGTTTGCTAATACAGTATTAAAATACAGTATTAAATAAGTTTAACATCTTGGAAATGAGTTGGAATATTTGTTAACAAACAAACCCGACTCCACTCCCAAAGCATTTGATTATAAAGAATTAAGGGTCACCTTTGCAGTTTGAATCACTATCAGGTATGTACCATCTACGGTTCAATGCTAACATCTGCATATATATTATCATTTATTGCATCAGCAATTGGCATTGACTATTAGGAACAAATGGCGGAATTGCTCATTTCTTCCAGCAGTTGAAGAAATCCCTGAATTATCATGAGTTCTGTTGCATGACTCCAGTTGTCATCACGGATTACGCTGGTCATATACAACACATCTCATTCTGCACTGGAGCTGGTCCGCTTTGATGCTACTATCTTCAAGCAACACCCTTATACTTGTTTCATCATGATGCTGATGTTAACTTCTTTTTTCTAACCATTTCAACCAAATCTTTATAACGTAATATGCATTGCTCCTACAAAATAAAATAAAAGACTCTTTAATTCATGACATTACATTACATTACATTAAAATAAAACTTAAATTTGTTTTTAATAATTTTAGACAGATGATAAATTTGTAGAAAAAGCATGCACAAATTTATTTGGGTGACACAACTATTAGATTTTGGCCTAATAATAAAAATAATAATGATTTTAAAAAATTCATAACCGTTATATCAGCTGATGAAGATAACGAAAGCTACTGAAAAGGAAATAAAGCCATTGACTCTGAAAGGTAAATTTATTTTATTACATTATATCAATGATGAAATAATAATACTCACTCTAGATTTGCCAGGAACTTGTTCAGCAACTTTATTAAATCGATCACTGGTTCCTTTGGGGAACATTGCTAACGCTTTTTCGAATACTTTCTGTTGTGCCTGTGTCCAGACCTCCTCATCATTCACATTAACAGCCTTGTTGCTGTCCGCTTTGATATCCTGTATCAACAAAGTCCTTTCAGCGCTTTTCACAGGCTTTGCTGTCTTATGCCTACGATTGTCCTCACTGTTTTCCGATTTGAAATCACTTCTCACCGATATCTCTTCTTCATTGAGCCTCTTGCCTGATTTGCTGGTTACACTGGAATTTGTACCTTTGACGATACCTATGGTGGAATATATTTCGTTAAATTTATATTGTCTGAGGTAAAATTTTAGAAAAGCTTCAAAAAAATCAATTAACACACTGAATCGTTATGAACTTCAAATGAAACTCAAATTCAAACCATTACACTATTGTTGATTTAATGACTACAAAAATAAAAAAAGTTTGACATGCAAAGATAGATAATAGAAATGTTATTGTCTATGCATCTTAATCATCATCTTAATTAAAAAGGAAAATCTTTTCTCTCTTACAAGTTCAAGAACTTACTCAAATACAGTAAATATTATTGTACAATACAATTAACTAAACATAGACAGTCTTTATTTTCAATGTACCTTGAACAGATGCATCAACATTCATAGCATAGGATCCTGACTTCATTGACTTGGATTTTTTTAGCACCTACAACAAGAAACAAAACAGGATGCTAGTAAATGTTGACAAGTACATGGTGTACTTATTTGCACCTGTATATGGTTAGACATGTGTATCACCAACTGTTTCCACATTAATATGTTGACACCTATAAATATCCACTAACTGTACATTTATTATTTATTATTTTATTACTACATGGTGACAAGCGTACATGTTGTGTTTGGACACGTGTGTATTATGTCACATCCATATGCTACCACTTGTGTAAACCATATTTTGCCATCTGTATAATATACTATCTCCTCTAAATGTTCCCGCCTGTATATATACCGGTAAAAATTGATACATGTTAATTTTGCAATCTGTATATTTCCTAATGTATAAGTTGCCATAATATTTAACTATCTTCTCATCTGTACTATATCACCTGTATACATTGCCACCTGTATAATTTTGGCACCTGATATTGCAACCTGTGCATCCGTATAAATTGGTTATAGTCTGGGTCTCTACCTCAAGTTCAGGCAATTATACCAATGATACCTGGTATAAGATTCTCTAGTCTTACCTCATCAACAGACCGGTCCAACTCTGCTGCAATCTTCTGCCATCTTTCAGTGGTGCCTCCAGGGTACTTGGCCATACAGCGAACCATTTTAGTTACATCATCCGCTGTCCATTCCATACCCTGCAGAATCAAAATATATGCATTTACAAAATACTGTATATTCTCACGCATAATACAAGGCTAAAAAAAGCAAATTACCATTGAAAAACAGGGAGTCGTCTTATACGTCTGACATACAAGAACTGTCCAAAAATCTTCGAAAACTTGGGGTCATCTTATAGTACGCAGATTGCCTTACATATACGGTATATTAAATTAAAACATCATCAGTTATTCCTAATAACTAAAAAAAAACAATTCTTACCATTCTACTTTCAGAAACATGCTTCACTTCTTGGTTCTCTATCACACCATTTTGTACGGCGTTATAAATCACTGGGCCATTTCCTGAGCTCATTGGTATTGGCTCTGCTACAGGAGCTGTCTCAACTCTGACCCTTCTTTTAGGTTTACGAATCTCTTCTGGTTCTTCGGACTCATTTTCTTCAGGTAACTGTCTAGTCCTCTCTTGTAAGCACACTTTTAACGTGTTGAACATGGATGGTACATGCATTAATTGTGAAATAAATAAAGAGGTAAGTTTGACTGGAAGCAAGTCAGTTAATTTTGGACGTGAAATATTAAAATTTGCAAGCATTTCTTCTGACACAGTTACTTCCTCTTCTTCATCTTGGTTTTTTGTCTTTCTAGACTTTTTGTCTTTTTTCTTCTTTGGCATGAGGCATTCCTGAAATTACACAAAAGTTTGAGTTATGAAGAGTGAGCAAAAATACTTATTCTTATTGTAGAGAACCATATACAATGAACAATTTGCGATTACCTAAAATATACGGAGAGAATGTATCAATGGTGGTGGGGTATGATGGATGCATATGCACCCCCTCCCAAAATTGAAAAAAAAGTTCACATTTGAAAATGTATTATTAAGACAGTAGAAAATATTACAATATATCATTATTATTTACTGAATACTTGGTTGTCCCACTTAATGTAGGTATGGAAGAACCACAAAAATGTGTTTCAATACTGTTTGTGGTAAAAACTAAATTGAACATTCAAATAAAAAATTAAATTGAATGAATCATGGTTTGAAACCATTTAGTGTTTGCTAATTTACAGACTTTACATTTACACTTACATTCTCTTGGCAAGGAAAATAGTTTTCCTTTTCTAAATCATAATTGAAAGTTAATAACTAACTTCTATACAGCAATCAATTCATGTAAGTAAATGGATTACTGTATGTAGCTAACATCACATATGAAATATTTCATTTATTTAACAAACACATTTTACATGGATAACATTTTCATAAAAATTATGTTCTAACAAATGGTCCATGAAATAAATATGAATCTAACCATTAAAAATAACAAAAAGAAATATTTTTGGATTTTTTACAATATTTAAATGAATTTATGCTAGATGTTTAAATACACAAGAATTAAATTTGATAATACATAAAAAAATATAATTATTTTAGCTACAGCATGATTTTATTTTGAATTTTTAAATGAAGATTAATACAGTATACATTTTACGTAATAAAAAGGACTCATATACATAATAATTAGATCTGATTATACCAATATAACTAATCACAAAAGATTTCCTTTCATACATTAAAGGTTAATGCATACTAACTAAAAAAGAGATGCAGACATTACAGTGAAACATACCATTTCAAATCGTTTCTCCCAAAATGCTGCCCAGGCTACAATGTAATGACCGACTGTCATAATGACCGATACGAGGACACTAATCTCCAGTAAGCCCATCTTGCGTACCTTTCGGAAGTAGTACACCGGCTCACGCCATGTTGGCAGTCCAAACTCAAGAATTTCATTATATCTAAATTTGTACAGTAACAATTTTTTAGATTTGCAAAAACATAAAACAGACAGATAACTGTTTCTACTATATAATAAACATATAACATTAAATATCTAATAATATCGGTATTCATCCGATCTTTTACCTTTGGCGAAGTCCTTCATTCTTCAGAACCTCAACAACAGCAACAATCTAAAAAACAAAAAAAAGGTAATTTCATTGGGGGCATAAACTATATTTTTTCAGAATAATAAAAGGCATTTGGTTTACAAAATGCTATTATACTGACACATAACTTATTAGACCCCATCAATGAATTCTACCACAGGTAGAATATAATATCATTTAGGAAGCACATTGTTGCCAACTTTTCTCCAAAAAAAATCTGTGTGAGTCTCATGGTCAATCCGTATAAGTTGGCATCAATTTTATGTTAAGTATTACAATTTTGATTTTTCATCTAATAATTTTGGGGCATATTTTGAAACTTTACAGATGCCAGAAGACGATAAGAGTAGGGTATGAAGGATAAGATGTTTTTTTTCAAACAACATTTGTCATTAAAATCATCCCCGAGGTAATTTGACAATTCTTTCGTTTATTTCAGGAATCAATAACAGCTGACATGTTTATGAGGAATCTAATTACACTCTAGTAACATACATGTTTATATTCTTTATTGTTTATTTATAATCTTTAATACAATGTTATAATATAAAGTAAATGTGTCTTACTTTCCTGAACTTCTCCTCTGTCCCTTCCTCTTGGTTTTTATCTGGATGATACTGTAACGATAGTTTTCTGTAGGCCTTCCTCACGTCACTACTTGTTGCTGTCTACAAGAGGTAAAATACAGAGGACTCTCATCAGATAACTATCAGACACTACTAATAATGTTTATCAACTGTAAGTCCTTGTTGAAAAGAAACTTCGGATCAGGACATGGTCAGTAAGTACAACAGGAGACAAACCATGGGCGTAAGCTAGGGGCCCGATGCACCCTTCCTCCATGACAGCAAAATTTCACTAAGTGGGATGAAATACTAAAAACAATCATTAAATTTTTGCACCAAACATTATTTGCTGTTGTAGTTTATTGTTTGGTGGCGTCTCCCGTGTTTAAGTAACGCAATATTGCTAGACCGGATCGGACGTTACAGTTTATAATGATCTCAGATACAGTAGTTATTGAAACATGGAGGTAGAATGTTATGATAATGGATGTCAGTTATAGTAAAATTCATTACAAATTGAAAAAGAAACAAAATTTACTCAAATTTTAGGATAAGCGCAAGTTTTGCCAGTGTTGCGTAAGATTTGATTGGAATGCGTAAGACTTAATAAGGTGAATGATACGGGTTGACAGGTCTGAGACTAGGCCTAGGCCTAGATAATTTTTGGAATTAGGCCTAGGCTAGGCTAGGCAGTGATCATGCATATTGTATTAGTATTAATTTATGCACATGGATGGGATGGGACCAACAGCTTAACAACACCCCATTCTGAAGGACGAACTCCAATAATAATAATAGGCTAACCCTAGGTCTAGCCGCACTTAGTCTAGGGCTCACCAGGCCCTGTGCTAGTTATTGTTTAAGCTAGCTAGGGCCTAAATTAAGCCTAGGCCAGCCCATGCCCCTAGCCTAGGCCCTAGTAGCCTAGGCTAGGCCTAGTTGTTTGTAATTTGTAAACTTACTTGTTCAATCCCCAGGAAATCATAAAATGTCTGTGGAAGAATTTCTTCTACAAGATCAAACAACTCTAGCTCTTCATTATCCCAAGCTAAACTACAAGACAGTTTCATCATCACTATGCAGATGACAGTCAAGTACACCCTTTGTGGAACCATATTGAACAGTGACTTGCCACATCAGCCAGGCTATCCTACTTCCTCCCGGCGTCGTCAGTGTTTCCCTTGCGCTGCTACTGTACAGAGAACGAAGGCCTAGCTGTTGCTAGTCGAGTCTCTAATTAATTGGACGATTCCATTTTGAACACATTTTTGGAAAAATCGAATAATAAACGGCCGGCCGGACCGGGGCTTTTATTGGGAAGGGTGTTCTAGGGAAATCCGGGCGTTTATTATTGAGTTTTATTCGAGGGAGGCGTTTATTTTGTTTTGGTGTAAAACGTAATACTCAAACATTATTTCCGTCAAAATGTGTTATTGCGTGATCATAAAGACATTGATTCCAAGCAGGTTAGAAAACGTGTGTAATTCTAACTGGATTAGGCGTTTATTCAAAGCGGGCATTTATTCGAATAAATACAGTATTTTACTATAATTTATTTATTTTTCTTTAAAAAAAAATCTTCCCAGAATTTGTTTTTCATTGTATATTTGAAAGTTTCAAAAATAAACGAGCCTCAGCATTTCTATAAGAAAAAGAGAAATAATTTAAAAAAAAAACGTATGAGTTAACTTACAATAATTCACCCTAAAAAATACCCAGTTTTTATTGATTTACAGATGATTTAGTACAAAACACACCTTAGATTTGCTGCTAGTTATATGTTCCGGGAATATAATATTTTCTATGGCGTCCATAAAATTTGGGAGGACAATTTTATTTTAAAGTAAATAAAGCAATTCATCTATTTAATGAAAAAAATGACTTATATTAAAGTATATAAGCACGTGTGGGACACTAAGCGAGCTTGTCCAACATCACTCGATTGAATACAAATAAATTAAATTAAATAATATTAAAATAGAACAAACGTTACTCTGAATAAAGAAAGGGTGAGGCCATGATTCAAATTTTCGACCTTTATTTGGTCATCTTCAGGAATGAGAATACTAAAGACACTGATTACAAAAAAATGCTACAATATGCAAATTAGGGGATTGTTTAATTCCAAACAATTAATTAATGTTACACCAGTCGTAAACCAATTCCTGTACATGTAGACTCTTATTTTTGTTTAAGTGTCAAACCATAAAAGAATTGCATAGACGATGGTAGGTCATCCTCAAGAATACATTAATTTATTATGTTTGGAAATACAAACCAGTCAAAAGTTAAAGATGTTGCGGCGTTCTTTTATAGGAAATATTTTTTTGTTTTATATTTGACTAGTGACGTCTGGATATCTGGAAATAAACAAATTGAATCCAGTCTCATTCCCAACAACAAATCTTATATATTTTCTTTTTTACATACAACTATTAACAGCAAGTAATCTACAATTATCAATCTGGAACAGAGTACATACAGTACCTCCGCCCTGTGCCTGAATACAAATAGTAAGCAGGCCATGTATGATGGCTGAAACTGCAGCACACCCTAGAAGGAATAATGATATCACCCATTTTATTCAGGTATATTTTCTTGAATGCTGCCTGAATATGAGGGCCAATTCCATTATTTTCTTTTATGGACGAGGGTAAATAATTTGTCCTTTGACTTTACCTTCCGAAAAAAGTTAATACTGTCTTTTATTATGTAGCATTCTACTAAATTGTATGATGATAAATTCATTAGATTTTGTGTAATCTTGCTAACAGACAGAGAGACAGGCAGACAGACAAAAGTAACCTCCTTGACAGAGGTAATAACTTTGTGTATACAATATTCTGAAGTACCTTGGTTGTTAGGCTGTGGTTTGTGAGAGCACTCCATGTTAAATTTTAAATAAATGAATAAATACAACCACATAATTCAATATATTTCTCATTTATTCTCTTGAACAGGGTTCAAATTATATAAATGCACTTAAATACGAACATATGGAATTTTCATATTCAGATCAATGCAATTGGTGGAATAAATGTGTTAATGAAAATGAAATGAAGTGATGATACATCACATATTCCAAGTTTCGAAACTTTATTATATTATTTTATTAACTGAATAACAAAATATTTTAAATGCTACACAAAAACATACAATGATAATATAATCTATAAAATAACAATAATAAATTATTAAAATATAACATTTCACTTTAAATCTAATATTTCCAATAACCCAGTGGAAATCTTAAATCAGATTGGACATTATTGTAAATTAGTGCAAATAATTAATTACATCTTTTAATTTTACAAATGATAGTAATAATCATCATAATTTATGTTGTGCATCATAACTTCCAATCCTCTCCATCAATCCAGTCCAAGCCTTTTCAACCTGCAAAATAGTAGACATTATTTATCATTCAACACATATATTTACACAATACACTATTTTCTGAAGAACCAAAATTTCTTATAATACCAAATGAAAATTATGTAACTCAGTGTTGAAACATTAGACAGAAAATACATTTTAATATATTTTGATTTTGTTTTAAGCCACTGCGTGAGCATTGAATTCATTTTGAAAAAAGGTAACTGTAGTCATGGTCTTGGTAAGACCTATTCACATATATTTAAAAAGTTAAAACATTTAAACATACCTGTTTTTGAGTAATATCAGGTTCCCATAACGTACTAAGGACAACGTTCGCCACATTAACACGTTGTTGATTGCTAAGTTGTGACTGGATACGATTTTTAGCACGTTCTTCTGGAAGGTTGTCTCTTTCCATTATGCGCTTTATAGCCTAGAAAATTCAATACATGATATCAAATGAAAAACTGTACGTTAGGTGGGAGCTGTATGTAGAGGTTGTGGTACAGCGGTTGTGATAAAGACGGGTTATGGTGAAGTGATTGTGGAGCAATGGTTGTGGTACAGCGGTTGCAGTGCAGCAGTTGTGGTTCAGCTATCGTGCAATGGTTGCAGTGCAACGGTTGTGGTGCAACGGCTATGGTACAGTGATTGTGGAGCAATGGTTGTGTTGCAGCTGTTGTGGTGTAGCGGTTTTGGTGCAGTGATAGTGGAGCCACGGTTGTGGTGCAGCGGTTGTGGTGCAGCAGTTGTTTAGCAACATTTGTGGTGCAGCAATTGTGGTGCAGCGGTTTTGATGTAGCGGTTATGGTGCAGCGATAGTGGAGCAACGGTTGTGGTGCAGCGGCTGTGATGCAGCGATCGTGGTGCAGCAGTTGTGAAGCAATGTTTGTGGTGCAGCAGTTTTGGTGTGGTGTGGTTGTGGTGCATTAATTGTGGTCCAGTGCTTGTGGTGCAGAAGATATAGAGCATTGGTTGGGTTGCAGTGGTTGTAGTTCTGGTAGGTATTTCAAATCTGAAGCTGTCCCAAAGCACTTTGTTAACTGTTTATTTGCACTATACAAATCCATCTATTATTATTATTATTAATATTACTAACCATGAGTATGAGAATTTAATACTTTTAAACGCCTTTTTCTTCATAATATGCTCACAGAGAGCGAAGAAAATATGTGTTCGTAAAGCTCTGACGATACTGTCTAATTTAATGTGACAAAACAACTATGATACGGCATCATGATGCCCATATATGGGCACATCACACAAATTTGTTACATAAAATTTCATAGTGTGGACAGGGCTTAAATAGTGAAAAGGACTTAATTTGTCCTACTTTGTTAGAAAATCAAAATTGAGACCCTGAGGACCTTGTGATGAATTGTACAGTGCACCTTTTAGAAATTGAAATGACACTTAAATGAAGGATTAAGTGTATTCTTTATAAATCCTCATTTTTACTGGTACAATATTGTAAAGTCTATGAATATTTATTATCATATGATATGCTGGTATATACATGTACACAGCGTTTCAATTTCCTTAAAAGAACACTTTAACTAAGGCCAAGTTTTAATATTAATAATGAGAACTGTTCAAAGAATAATTACCTCAGCTTCAGGTACAACAGAAACCCAAATTTCATGTACCATTTTGTCCCAACTTGCTTCCAACAAAACTGCAGCATCAAGAATACACACTTCCAATCCTGAAAAACCAAATAAATCAAATTAAAATCTCTAGTTAAAAATGTTGTATTCACATTTACTACAATGAGGAAATTTAATTGACTATATTAAAATTGTATAGGCTGGCAAACACTGTTTGAATGCATGCATACATGGACCAATTGAACATGGAATGTATAAATAACCATTTAAAAATTACCCCCAGACTAGTACCCCTGGACAGTAAGACAAAGACATGTACTCCTGAAAAATCACCTTCCAATACAGTACCCATGGTAACTCACCCCTGGATAATTATCACCGGACAAATAACCTAGACAAGTTCCTCTTTGACATCTACCGCCCAGATATATACAGTACTTCTGGCCACCAGACACACATCCTTGGACAATCACTCAAAAATAAGTGTTTCAGACAAGTAGCCAAACAATTACCTTAAACATGTACTTACGGGCAATTGCCAGTGGACAAGTTATCTTTTCTAAAGTGCTTATCCATGGATTCTTACAAGAATTACCTCCGTGCTAGAACTTCCCAGTTACTAAATACAAACCTTACCTTGCTCAGAAAATGTCTCTATTTCCTTTTTAGCCATCTGGGCAATTGCTGGCCACACGATCTGGTTTAGTTTCTCTAAGTTGGCTGCATCAGAAAATACTTTAGCACCTAACATCTTACGATTTATGAAACCATCTTCACCTACAATGGCTGAAAAACAAAACAGTTTGTTATAAAAAAAAATTGGCTGTTAAAGAATAAAATTAGGTAAAATTACAAAAAAAGGAAGAACATCACTCTAAAAACACAAAATCAACAACACACACACAAAATTAGATTATTTAACAAGTAGAATGATGGCTTCAGCCAAAAATATATATGGATCGCAGGGGTACTTCATTAAACGTATTTTACTGCATTAAGTACAATACACTTTCTAAAAACTTCTGCAAAAAGCTCATGTACAAATATCTAATATTCAGGATTGTAGCTGTGGAAAACTAAGGGTGGGTGGTTGACATTTTGAAGGCGGGTGGGTGATAGCACTGGTAAACTCTAAAAAATAAAAATGGATTTTAAGGATGGGTAGAGGTTAATAAAGGTGGGTAGAGGTTAATAAAGGTGGGTGGAGAGCCATAAATTAGCTTTAGACTGGGTGAAAAACTTCAAGGCTGTGTGGCCTACCTTCACTCACCATAACTACATTCTTGAACATTCTACAAAGCCGGATAACAATAACATATAATTAGGAAAAAAAACAAATTCAACAAACAAATGAAAATTTGCTACTTTTTAATTAACCTAATTTAAACCAACCTTCTCCAAACTGTTTCACAACCTCTTTAAATGTTTCTGTTCCTGGCTCGTAAGCCTTGTGTCCAAGCTCATCGCATTTCACAATACCTGCTCCAATCTTGTGTAGCCTCTTGCAAATTGAGCTCTTTCCACTTGCACTGCCACCTGTCAGACCAATGAGGTAAGGCTTGGATGGTAAATTAGGACGTATCTGAAAAAAACAATAGGCATGAATATGGGTCATTCCAGCTCATATCAGCCAGAAATTTGAAAGTTCCCATGTGACCCACTTTGGATATTTAAAAAAAAAAAAGAATCCAAAATTTCAGCTCCAAATTCCAAGCGGTATTTAAGTTATGACCTTTTGAAATTTAGGCACCACGCCCCATTTTTCATGGCAGTAATGGCTCTTACAAAATGGTTTTTACAAAGCTATATCTCCTGGAATAACAAAGATAAAAAATTGAAAATTGCTACATAAACTGATATTTGGCCCCTCTTTCAGGAAATACCATTCGAATTTGGGTAGCGTATTTCATTAGAATGTTATATGCCTCCAAAAATCCCCAAAAGCTTTGTGCAAAAATAGATTTTCGCTTTTTCGGAGGATCATATCTTACCATTCTTTGTACGGAAGTTCAAATTAAACCTGTGATGAATATGCTCATACTACTGCATATATAAAAGTTTGCAAGGTAATTAAGGTAATAATGAAGGTATAATAGGGTCCTGAACATGGTTGCAGGACCATTGGCCCTAAAAATACCCCTGCTTTGACCGGCTGGATGACCCCCATGGACATGAATATAAGAGATTTATACCAGTATACAGATACACATATCATCATTGTAAGTAAAAGTTTAAACTTTCTTCAGTGAGAACTGATTTAAAAAAAATAAACAGATTTTAATGTATTCTAAATAGCAGGTCAAAGTTCAAATCAAATAAAAACCGCTTGGAAATTTAAGCTGAAAATCCAAGGGGGTCACATGGGCATGGTGGTTGGTTTGAGCCGGAATGACCCATACTACAATATTATCTCTGAACACAGAATCAAATAATTTTTATTTTCATTATTAAAATTTTATTATAAATATAAAATGATAAAAGCACTTTTGTTATTGCCAATAACAAAAGTGGTCAATTCAAATTTGTACAAGGCCTGTTTTAATGGTACAACTTACCACATAAATTTTACTGATGAATATATAAACATTATCTTAATCATTCTGTTAAATATTTATCATTTTGATAAATATTAAAAGGGTATTGATTAATCCTTTTTTATGAGAATTCAAACATATTGATCATTCAGTTGAGTATGCATCATAGGTTGATAAATATTCATTAGAATGCCTACCAGTGGCGGTCTTAGAAGGGTTCCAAGAAGACGAATACGCTGACTGGACGAGCTGATCTTAACTTCCTCATGCTCAGCATGATGGCAGTCTTCAACAAGACTTATAACATGAATGTCCAGTTCATTCAGCCCCTGAAATGAAAATACAATAAACGTGCACAATAATAACAATAATAATAATGATAATAATTAATAATAATAAATAATAATAATAATAATAATAACAATAATAATAATAGGCCTAATCATGTAAGATCACCATTAGTACTGTAGTTATTTTTAGTGTTTACTGCTCACAAAAACAAACATTTTCTTTTTTTTCCCTTTTTTTTTTGTAGACCACACCCTATAATTGCTTTAAATTAAATATGCAGATAACTAATGTGCCACACAACACAGGTGCTATAAATTAAAGACAAAAGGTATTAAAAGAGCTTCATGTTTTTGAGAAAAATGTGTATAATTAAAACCCATTAAAAACTAAACCAAGTTTAGCAACTTCAACTAACCTTTTCTTTCCTCTTCTTGTTGACAGCATCCCCACCTCCTTTCGTTTCCTCACTGACAACAATAGCTGTCATGTCAGCATAGACTATACTTGGTCCAAAAGGATCAACTATAGGAACTAGGGAATGATCATGTAACACTTGCGGCTTAACATCTGATAAGAAACTCTTTAAATGTAGGCATCGCTCCTCGATTGGTAGAATTAATTCTGTCAGTGTTTTCTCTGTGAAATAACATTTCAAATATGATTATTTCATTCTATTCAAAGAATATGTGTAGGTCTATATTTACTACTGACCAACCCATAGAATTGGCATTAGAAATTTGAAAAAAAATCGCAAACAAAAACGGTATAGGAGTTTCAGCCATTATTTATGAAAATGTATGAATGAGAATTGATGATTGTTACTGACCAGTGAGCAGGGCGGATTTAGGATGGGGGAAGAGCTGAGCTGGCCCTGTCCTCCCCACCACCCTTTTCAGAAAGTAAAAAGAAAAAAGAAAAAGAAATTACTGATAGCCCAAACACCTCAGAGGTTATTTCCAGGAGTCTGGAAAACGAAAATGTCAATAGGGTAGTGTTGTCCTTTGATCGCCTCGCTCCTCCCACATCATTGGATCCGCCCCCGGTAAATCTCTCACCAGAATAAAATTAAAACAATAATAAACTAACTTTTGATCATCGGCCCGTCTGTTACACCAATTGTGATCTTCTTTTCAGCTCTTAAGCAAGACTCGCTCAAGAGAATCTTGTGTCCATTATGAAGTCGATCAAATGTACCACCAAGTACAACATGTCCGTACGTCTGCAAAACATTATTCACTCCATTTTTTACATCTTCATCATTGACATCCCTAACATCCTGGTTATCATCCGAACAATTTGATAACTGCTGAATTTTTGGGGCTGTCGGTAGGGTGAAGCTTGTATTTAAGAATTGATTGAAGTTGGAACCAATGTCTTGGAAGTCTGTAAGAACTACTTCAACAGGACTTGAAATCATATGTGGTAGTGCACATGTACTCGGTAGAGTGGTAATGTTATGAAGGAGTATGCGAACATCTGGACACTGTTTGCTATTTCCAGCTTGCGCATAGATGTTCATCACAAGTTTAGATAAGGATTCAGTTGGTGGCGTGGTATGTACAGACACTTTGTTTAATACTCTGTCAAATTCAGGCTCAAGATGGATAATTAATGTTTCGTTAATAAGCGAAACTGCTTCATTGAGAATTGGAGTAATACGGCTGAGCAGCTGATGTATTGGTGATGTTAGGACCAGCAATCCGCAGCGGAACATCTTGATTTTTCTTTATCTATAAAACAATGACATAAATCACAATTTTCAATGGCAGACATTACTTCAATTAGTATATATATATATAGTATTTGATTTTCTTTAAAAACATATATTTTAAAATGATATCGCCACATAATAATATAATGAAAACTATCAAATACCATTTCATATTTGCCATCAGTATAACATTGTAATCACTAAACAATTTGTTGGCTACTCATATTCAAATGAAGATGCCCAGGCCAATTTAATGTAAGCATGTATGTATAATCTATGGTGATCCTTCCTGTATTTCGAGAGCTGTATAAAATACAATTGATATCTTTTGTTAGTAGATCTACTACTATTATAGTCTAGGCCCACTGTGTGTGTCCTAGGTAGGAAAGCAATCTATGGCTAGGCCAGCAGACTAAAATAAAACTTGCTTAAGTAAAACATTTGCCCTAGAATTCTGTCCACGGACCACGCATATTGAGAAAATAAAGGCTGATTTCTGTGTAACATTTTCTGTAAATTAGGCATTGGCATAGGCCTATCTTTTAATATACAACCAATGTATGTTATTACTATTTAGTACAGCAGCTGTGGCGGCATCAGGATTTGCCCAACGGGGGTCCAAAGTCCCAGATGGGGGGGATGATGTCCCCGACGACAAAAAAGTGGGCGCGGTCACTCGTCGCTACAAACCTTTTGAAAGTGGTCCTGGGGACGTAGACCCCCAAAAATGACAATTTAGGGGTTTCAAAGGCTTATTTAATCAATTCTAGCATCTAATAATAATATGTACAAAATACATAAAGTTTTTTTGAATTTTTTTTTCCCCCGACGACTTGTGGTTTTTCTCCCCGCCGCCACTGTACAGCAGTTACGATTCTGCGCACCTATTTACCTTGGAATTTTCCTCTCCAATTTGTGAAGACAGACCTGCCAGCTAGGCTTAGGCCTGTTTAGCCTAATATAATTCACAAAATAGATGTACAAAAAATCACGATGATAATTTCTTTGCCAAAATTATAATGAACAGTCAGTACACAAGTGTAGTATTATATAGGCATATCCAGGGCAGGCTGAGGCTATAACTAAGTAAGCCCAAGCAAGGTACATACATGGTCCACCACCAGGGCAGTCCGCCTATTTACACCAGCACTAGTTACCTTGCTAGGCCTAGGACTAGGTCCTGGCTAGGCTAGTTAGGCCCTAGCTAGGTAGGCCCTGGGCTGACCTGGCTGGCTGGTTAGCTAGCCTACCTAGTAGGCATAGGTCCTACTGAGTACTGAGCCTAGCCTACGTAATTCTAAACAACCTATTCCTCCTACAATTCGCTCAATTAGGCCTAGGCCTAAACACATTTTAAATGAACTTCTAAGAGCAATAATGCACTTTGTATATTATATACTACAAGTATTCCTACCGGCGTGCAAAGAAATTTATCATCGGGCTCTCTCGTTCCTATAGAGCATGCGCAATTTACTGAAACCTACACCATATACACACATGAACCTTTTTTATTTATGCCTACAGTCTGTACATGCAAAATAGGCCTATCATACAAATAGATTTATTTTTATATTATTCACCAAATCATATAAACCAATATAATAAATATAAATATGGTTTTATACATACATATATAGAAATAGAAGGAACTAGTGTTGTCCGAAAGCTCTGGTTCTATTTCTGGCTGTTTACTTACGTTTACTTTTTAGCTGTTGCTTATCATTTTTGTATCTCTATTGAGATCCAGCCATTGTTTCCCACAGCATTGTTGTTTTT